CCCAGACGGTGCACACCGCACCCATTAGGTGTGAATATACCTATCCCCTACTTCCCTCTCCCATCTGCCCGACACCGGATGAATGTTATTACTATATGTGCACTTAAGTGTTGATCAGTTAATACCAGTTTGATGGTGAGTACACGTGGTGCTTGTTTTTGCATTCTTGTGATACTTCACTTAGTACAATGGGCTCTAGCTGTATCCAGGATAATACAAGAGGTGCTAGATCACCATTGTTTTCTGTGGTTGAGTAGAACTCCACGGTATAACATATACTTGTGGTCATTCTTAACTCTTCTTTTCCTCTCACATGGCTCCTCCGTATCTGATCTGCCAGCAAATCTTGTTGCCTCAACCTTTAAGATTTACATTGATCTCAGCATTTCTCTTCACTTCAGCTGCGACCAACTTGATTTAAACCATCATTATGTCTTGCCTGAATTACTGCAATAGCCTCCTAACTGGTCTCTCTGCATCCACCTTTACGTTCCTTCAATTTACCCTTAAAAGCAGCCAGAATGATACTGTTAAAACTTAAATAAGAACATGTCACTCTCTACTCAAAAACATTTATAGTGATTTTCTAAATCATTTCAAATAAAAGGCAAAATTCTTAAAATTGCCCATAAGGCTCTACAATCTGTCTGCCATTCCCTAATTTCTCCTTCTACCACTACCAACTCACTCTATCTGCTCCAGCCATATCAGTTTCCTTGTTTCTCCTCCAATACAGCATGTATGTGCCTGCCCCATATATTTGTTTCCTCTGTCTGGAGTGTTCTCTTCCTATATAGACAAATGGGTCACTCTGTCATGTACTTGGTATGTATTAAATTGTCTACTTCTCAAAAGAGGTCTTCCCTGGGCACCCTTATTTATCATTGTAATCCTCCGCCCTTGACTGCCTAGCTCCCTGTTCTATTTTTCTTCCTGGCGTTTATAACCATATAAGAGTGTATGTATTTTTCTTATTTATCATGTTTATTATCTGCCTCTCCCCACGAGAACAGAAGCTCCACGAGGGCCTGGATTTCTGTTTTACTCACTGCTGTATTTACTTAAAGACTCATGTGATGAATGAGGTTTTCTCCACCCAGAATTTCCTCTCTCTTTCCCACACCCAAATCCTAACCATTCAGTAAGATTTAGTTGTCCTCTAACTCCTATTGTACTTGTTTGTAATAGGAATCTTACTTTCTAAAAGCCTCAACTTTTAAAATGTTTATTATTTTTATTATAAATATAGTATGTAGTG